TAAAACATACCTAAATAAAAATGCCAACTAATCAATTGATGAGTCCACATTATCAATTGAACTCCAATTAAGCAATTTGGAAGTATGACGTGGGAATTTGTCACATGTCATTCAAAGATGGCATAGATCCTCGCTTTATATTATATATAGATAGATAGATGTTTAATTTGAGGGGTCTATTCTATACTACACTGGGATAAAATACATCGGGTAGATTTTTACTATTCATATACACACACCCACATTGATGTGTGTATATCAACCATAAAAAAAATACTAAATGTAGTATTCACCGAGTGTAGCAAAGAAACAACCGATTTGAGAGGTACAAATTACCTCGTGAAAGTAATAAGATTCTCGCATTGAAAATAGGCGTGAAAATGCAAGCAATTTATAGATAGATAAAGTCTAAAATTGTGTGTCATTTTATTTATGATTAACTTTTTTCTCTAAATACAATTCTACTAATAATCAAACTGCTTAATTAACCATACTATACATCAGTGTTCTAAAAATCTATCGAGGCGGCCGATTAATCGGTCTCCGAGGTGAAGGCGCTTCCAAACTCTTACGATTTTGCTGTAAAGGTTTAAAAAATTGGGTTTTGGCATGTGAGACGGTTTTAGGCGGTTCGACACGGGTTGAGGCGGGTCGAGGCGGTTTGAGGCGGTCAAAACCTTGAATGCGGGTCAAACTTTAGGGTAAAAAATCGGGCAAAAATCTATTTATTTATTTTTTATTTTTTAAATTTAAAATAAAAGTTGGTATTTTAATTAATGTTGTGCGGAGGCCCTAATAGCCATGGTCGCTAGAGCATCTAATAGTGGCGAATTTCTTGGAGTTCGGGTGGCCCCAACAGCTCTGGTGGTTTCGTGCCTATGTTTTGCAGATGACACGTTGGTGTTTGGGAGAGATACGGAGGAGTACGCACGGGTGCTAAAGAATATCTTGGGGAAATATGCCCGTGCATCTAGACAGGAGATCAACCAAGAAAAATCGACAGTGTTTTTTAGCCCAAATACTACTCAGGAGCGAAGAGTTGCAATCCATCAAATCTTGGAATTTCGAGTGGTGGAGAACCAGGAAAAATATTTAGGATTGCCGGCGGCCATTAGAAGGACAAAGAAGGAAATTTTTGCATATCTCCGGGATAGGTTGTGGTCCAAGATTAAAGGGTGGGGCGAAAAACAATTATCGCGAGCGGGAAAAGAAGTCATGATCAAAGCAGTTCTACAAGCTATCCCATCGTTTGTGATGGGATGTTTTCTACTTCCAGAAGGCATTATAAACGACGTGGAGGCTGCAGTCAAACGGTATAGGTGGGGTCATGGGGGAAATAGAGGTCTAGCGTGGGTAGCATAGAACGATATGTGTAAATCGAAGGGCAAAGGGGGAATGGGCTTTCGGGATCTCAAATCATTTAATTTGGCTATGATTACTAAGCAGGCCTCGCGGATCTTTACAAATCCAAACATGCTACTGACTCGGGTTATCTCTGCCAAATATTACCCTAAAGAGAGCTTATTTAATGCAACGTTTGGGCATCGTCCGTCCTCGACTTGGCGCAGCATATGGCAAACCATTCCATATCTTCGGCACGGTCTCCGACGACGAATTGGTAACGGCCGAGATACATCATTGTGGGCCGATCCATGGCTCAAAGAAGGAGGCTCGCTGCGCTTATTCACCAAACGTCCAATGTGGGTAGTCTTTCCAGACCGCGTCTCAGATATCATTGACGACAATTCTAATTCTTGGAATATGGATCTTTTAAATGAGTTTATCTGGCCGGTAGACATTGAGCGCATCTTGGTTGTTCCTTTGGGTAATGGCCTTGCGGATGATAGGTGGGTTTGGCATTTTTCCAAAAATGGTCGGTTCTCTGTGAAGTCTTGCTACCATATGATCCTGGCACATCGGATAGAGCATGACAATCGATGACATGGCAGGGAGGGCGCTGGTAGTGGCGAAGGGGGTCGAAACTGGAATCTTATTTGGCACCTTCGGCTCCCGCCAAAAATCATCTCATTTCTCTGGAGAATGTGCAAGGAAATACTTCCAACAAATAAGGAATTATACCGGCGAAAAATCAACAGCACCCCTTTATGCGGACATTGTAATGTGGAGGAAGAAACGATTATGCATGTATTGCTCCGATGTCATGGCATGGAGGAGGCGTGGAGCTCTCTTCCTTTTAATGAAACATTGCATGCAGATTCGACGTCACCATGGCGATGGCTTTGTGAATTACATTGGGTTATGGGTGAAGATAATTTTCTCACAGCAATGATCATGGCATGGAAAGCATGGGAAAGGCGGAACGAGGCTGTGAAGGGGGAACCGGGCTTGAGTACTAAAGATATGACGCGTTGGTGTTGTGAGTATCGAGCAAACATCCAAGCAGCCCATCCTCTTACTGGTCTACGTCCAAACCCGCGTCACCCTAGCGTTTGGACCCTACCGCCGCATGGGACCCTCAAACTTAACTTCGATGCCGCTCTACCTAAGGGAGGAAGAGAGGTTTCATTTGCAGTTGTGGCGAGAGACGATGCGGGGACGTGTGTTGGCTGGAGAGTAGCTCGCGTTAGGGCTGGTCTTCTAGCGGTTGAAGGGGAGGCGCTGGCGGCGCTTCGAGCACTTGCTTTTGCTAAGGAAAGGGACTGGCATGCCATTGTGCTGGAAGGGGACTGTCTCCAAGTCATAACGGCTCTTCGTGAGGGTAACTGTGAATCGACAACTTTTGGTGGCATCATCGAGGAATGTCGAAAGTTAGCTTTATTTTTTCAATCGATTTCCTTTAATTTTATAAAACGCTCGGGCAATAGGTTGGCTCACGAGCTAGCGAATTTCTCTTTTTTAGCTTGTAATAACCCGATGGAAGGTGTTCACCTCCCTTCGAACTTGGCAAAGTTTGCCTAATGATATTTCTTTTTCCATCAAAAAAAAAAAAAAAAAATGAGTTTATGCTTTATTTTGTTTATGTTAACTGTTATTGTTAAATAACCTAATTATATATGCTTGGAATGTTCAAGAATAAATTTAAATTTAAAAAAAATGCCTTTTTATTTATATCTATAAGAATTTTTATTGTATTATGTCTTATTATTATAAAACTTTTATTATGTACATGATGGAGATATAACTATATACATTTAAATATCTTTTTATATATGATTTGGGTATTTATAAATAATATCTATAAATATATTATTTTAAAATTTAAAAATCGATTTATGTTCGATTTATCCCAGATTAATCACTGTTGCACCGATTAATCGTGAGTCGGTACTGACCGCCTCCGACCCGATTTCCAGTTTTTGTAGCCTTGCTATTCATACATTTAGATATACCTACAATTACAAACAAGGCAAGAAACTTTCCTACTATTCATATTTTAGATATACATAGTAGGTAGTATAGATTGTTGTCATAAACTTTTAAGTATTTTTGTAATTTGTCCTTGAATTTCTTCATTCTAACTATTTTAACATAATAATAATGTTGTAACATTTGATGTCTTCATTAAACCTTACAAACATCTGAAAAATAGTTACAGATAAGAGCAAAACATTTATTTATGGTATGTATTACGTAAGAATATAATTAGATATTTCCATCTTTTAGTCAATAATATGTTCAATATGGTATATCCCTAGAGAATTGACTTGACTTTCAAAAATAATAAGAGATTCAACTGCTAAGCTTTTATTACATTGTTATTATCTTATTTGATGTTGTAATATTTGATGTATTCACTAAACCTTCCATAATTACATCTGAAAAAACAAATCAAGTCAAAAAAATTAATTATAAGAATACACCATTTACGTATAGTAAGTGTTATAAGAATGTAAGGATCCTGCCTTCTAACGCCAAATTGACCCTTAACCTGTGAATAATGGCATTCAACATCTTATTAACCATTTTTCTTTGTGTTTTTTGTTTGCAAGCAAATGCAGCACTAAATACTAGTTTTGATGCATACTACTCATATCTCTGGGGAGGGGATCACTTTTCGATTAATCCCCAACGAACCGAGGTTCAACTTAAGTTCGATAACTCCTCTGGTAAGTATGTTATTATGAGTAATTTTGGTTAGCACTCTTGTATTAATGTGGAGCATCTCTAACCGATGTGCAATTCGTCTGCTTAACATATATTTGACGTGCAATTCTCATATTTTTAAAACATGTTATATTTATGGTATATATATATATATCATTAACATAATATTTGTTTATGTAGGTGCCGGATTTAGGTCTAAATCGAACTATGGATCCGGATTATTTCATGTCAAGATGAAGTTACCAAGTAACAAATCAGGAGGAATTGTTCCAAACTTCTATGTAAATATTGTTTCTCTTATTACGTTTTTATCATAAAAAAAGATTTGGTTATATCTTAATCGTATAATATTTTTGAGTGTATTTACTTGTTGTACATTGCAGTTAACTGCAGTCCCAGATGGTGAGAGTGCAAGCAAACCTCATTTTGAAGTTGACTTTGAGTTTTTGGGATCGACCGGAAAAGTGCAAACACATGTTTATGACAGTAATGCTGGACACAGAGAGCAGACCTTTGCCCTTTGGTTTGATCCATCAACAGATTTTCACAGTTATGAAATTCTTTGGAATGTTTACCAAATCGTGTAAGTATAAATTAACTCCAACAATTTCGATTGTTCGTATGTACCTGTGACGCATAATTCACTTATAACTGTGTAGGTTTTATATTGATAATATTCCTGTGAGGGTGTTCAAAAACAACGTTCCGGGGGTGGCTTATCCGAATAAGCCGATGCACATCGAAGCAAGTATATGGAATGCAGAGTGGGCCGGAGCAGTCGATTGGAGTAAAGCCCCTTTCTTCATGCATTACTCGGATTTCGGATTCTATGCATGTCCGGGCAACAATATGGCGGTATGTTCTTACGATCATCTTTTCTGGAATAGATACAAGGAACTCACTTCCGTCGAGAAACAAAAGATGGCAAACTATAGAAGGAAGTACATGACTTATAACTATTGCGCGCAATCAAATACAAAGATGATGGAATGTGCATACAATAACATCTGATGTAGCTAATACGGGCCGACCCATAGGTATTGATGCAGAAACAATTGCTTCGCCCCCACCCCCCCCCCCCCCACAGCTGGAAAGGGCCCCACAAAAAAAAATTGTATTCGATATATATTTCAAAAAAAAATATTGTATGTTGTCATGTAGTCGGTAGTTCTCTAAGATTAAAAAAAAAAAGGGAATTGTATATCACCTATGACAAAATCGGTGTCAACCAAACAATTTAAACAATTCAAAAACCTATCGTACTTTTTTGCTTCACTACTTAATTTAGTTAGTTATTTGATATATTGCTTTTGTTTTGATAGTTTAATAAATTATACATGTATGATAAAAATATATTGGCGATGGAAGAGTTGTATTAATTTTATCGAGCGGAAAAAATCAATAACATTGTCGAGAAAATGATTTTATTTTCAAAACTTGCTTAGGGCCCCCAAATTTATTGGACCCGCGCCATGTAGCTAATTTTGCATTACTTAAATAAAAGTACTTGTAACCGTGGTATCACCACTTACATGATTGCGTGTTGTTACATAGAAAATATGGTGTTAGCTACGTATATGGACATTTAGTATGTTACATTATCAAGGCACAAGGTTGTAAAGCATAGTGAATAAAGTTCTTTTAGCTACTACTAGCATTTTTGCACGTACGATGTACGAGATAGCATTTCAAATCTATCTCAAATCTTAAGAGATAAAGCTAGAACTTCGATTTGTTAAATCTTAGTCTATTTATTTGGATTATAAATCTTAATATGTATGATTTAAAAAACTAATGTTATATAAAATATGAATAATATTACATTATTAAATTTTACTATATTGGTGTACTATATTTTCTATATTAAATTTTACTATATTTTCTTATTATATATTAAATTGATTATTTTTTTTCACTATTTAAATAATATCCCGTGCATCGCACGTGGGAAAAATGCTAGTTTATATAAAAGAAAGAAACGCTAGTGTAACCTAGGAAACATTAATGACATATTTGTAAAAAAATATATTAAATTATGTATATGTATACATTTATCTCCTATTTTTGCAGCCATTTCTTTTTCGTTTTTTAATTACTTTCACCAAAAATTTCGGCTAGCACAGTCCTCGTATTTTTTAATTGTTATTATAATTCGTATCTTCTATTTTCCAGCCTATTTTTCTAGTTCTTTCTTACTTCGTTTGTTTAATGATCAATTTTATATTATGACAATTAAGTTTATATAATTTTTTTTCCGAATGAGTTTATATTATTAAATTTGTATAAATGTTGATGTT